ACTCAAAATACTCTTCTGCAATTCGTGCTTCGTGGAAACAAAAGTTACCCAAGATCTTTAGGCTCTTTTCATGCTTCAAAACAACATATTAAAGAATGTAATAATAAAAAATCATAGCCCATGATGTGGTATCAAACTGAACTTTTCTATAATTCTTTGTTTTTGTTTCCTAAACAACCAAGTGAATACAAGCCTTTTACAACCCGTTATTCCCACACCATTGGCTCTTTTAAAACCATTTATTCATTCCATTAAAGAATATCCAGCTATATCATTTTACATAACTTTTCTCCAAAACAAACACTTTTACATATGAGTAACATATGAGAAAAAAAATCTGTAGAAGAAATGAAAAATCGAGACACATACTACTTGTCGGTTCAGAGATGTTAACTCCTTTCCAGTTCGCTCTGACTGAATTGAAGATGAGTGAATAAGTCAGCATGTGGGATGCCAGACAGTTTCAAATTCTATCAAAACATAATATTGCTTTTCCAAAAGATGATTCCCATAGCGATGAAACGCATTCAAGCACATTTTCATGGCTGATAAACTCATAGTTATCCAAATTTTCTTAAAAGATCGCTTTCATTTTGTGCACTAAAGTGATCAGAAAGCCGAAGCTACCTGCGAAAACAAAGCTGCAGTTCGATAGAGAATTTCACGGGCTATCGAATGATATATTATTATGCACCAATACATTCATTTTACGCGAAAAAACTCGTTCAAATACTTTCACTAGGCTTTCCATTGCGGATATGAAAGTCTTTTTGAGACTGCAGAAATCAATCGCGAATATGTAAGGACAAAGTGAGTGACCTTCCAACTATTCTCAGACTCCTTTTGACCAATCGAAATACTCTTTTAGGTCTTCCAATATTCCGACAGCTAGTATCACTAGCTGAAAAGTGAGTATTAGGTAGTCTCACTTGTTGAAAAGTCAGTATTGGATAGTCTCACCTACTGAGAGGTGAGTATTGGATAGTCTCACCTACTGAGAGGTGAGTATTAAATAGTCTCACCTACTGAGAGGTGAGTATTGGATAGTCTCACTTGCTGAAAAGTGAGTATTGGATAGTCTCACTGAGACTGCGTGGGTCTCACTTTCATATCCACTGGATCCGAAGTATGTTCCCGCAAGCTTTTAGCGTTTCCGCTGATCTTGCCGCTGGGATAAGTACGGTTCCGTTGTTCTTCCGCTAAGGTTCTGTCGGAACCCCTACGGATCTTGTTTGTTTCCGGTAAAGGATACGACTCGGTTTGAACCGGTTCCGGGTACGGTGAAATCCGGCCGGAATACTGCTTACATATTCCGATGCGACTTCCGGTCGGATCCTGTCGGAAAGGCTCCGGAACCGGCCGGAATACACCGGAAAACAAGACGTTTCTTACCGTTTCCTCCGGGTTCCGGAGGTCGGAATCATCGAGTTGTGCCTGTAAATGAAAGTAATACTATTTTATGAATTGAGACAAACCAGATTGAACTGACTGGCCAGATTTGATACTGTAGACCGAAATCCAAATACTTTTGATATAAATGATGAATTTGATAAAGACAAAATTGTTTGTCAAATAGTTTAAGTCGTGATAGTGTAAATCGCTGTTCTTTTTTTCTTTTTATAGAGCAATTTAATTGAAGGCGTAATGAATGCAAAAGAAACTTTCGTGGCATCTTCAAGTATCGTGATGGCTTATAAAAAGAAATATCATCATTTGCATTCAAGCGATCGCTATTATTATCAATAGATGATTTCGTTTCAATTTGAGAATTCTTCACTTTTTTAAAAACTCCTTGTGATATAGATGACTGGCTCATTGATATTAAAGATTTGTTTGATAGTTTTTGTTTGGATGAGCTTCTTTTTCGTTTGTTGAACGCTTCAATTTCATCATTCATCATTGGCTCGTTTAATGATTGTTCAGATGTATCATGGGTTCTTGTATTAATCAATGTCGCAATTTCTTCTTCATTCAAACCACGTGTTCTCCATTTTCGTTTGAAGCGTTGTAATTTCTTATTTCCATGATATTTAGGCTTTTTATTGACAATATCTGTTGATTCTTCACCATGTATCTGTGTTGCTGATATCACTTCCATTCTATCATTTTAACCATGCTGTAACAGATCACTTTCATGAACAATGTTCCATCTGTCGTTGCTTTGAGTCATTTAATTCTCATTCAGTCAACGACTGGATTTAAATCTAGAATAAAGAAAGTATAGATGCATGATTAGAGGCGATTTTGATTACAAAACTCTTTTGTATATGACTACACCAACTTCGGAAAATACTAAAGATGGAATAATGGTTGATACTGTTCTTCCTATTGTAGAAGAAAGGTCTATCGATATAAATGAATTCCAGATGGATATTGAATATAATAAATTCGGCAAAAATTCTCGGGTACTACATTATAATGATCGTTTTTTTCAGAATATAATATGGATGAATCAATAAACCAAGCAACACATAGAATGTGTAGCAAAACAAAAATATAGGAGTACTAATGATATGGAAAACAGATGAAGCAAGAAAAAGAAAAACAAATAGTAGCAGAAAAAAACATAATGATTTGGTCTGATATGAGTCTATCTAAGTTCGCCAATTGTATATTTGTCGTTGGCGAACTTCCTCACGACATTCGCCAATTCGCGAAAACTACAATTGGTGGTAAGATATTACCCCTTTCTGAATCATAGTCATAGTAGATCATTGCTATTTTCAAATTCGTGAGGGTGTGGGTGTGTTCAGACTGGAATTTTTTAGATTCAAAGCTACTTACGACGCGTTTCGATTGTTGCTTAGACAGTCATCATCAGGTAATTTCAGAATCTAATTAACTGCATATCGATCAAATCATCCTTAAGTAAAAATTTATAAAAATCAAAGCAAATTGACTTCCAATAAATTTTCAACAAAAATGATTAAAGATCACTACTATCCAAAGATAATAGACATCGCAGTTCTAAACAAAGGGGTGTGGGTGTGAAGGAAGCTTCCACGACGCGTTTCGACCATTGCTTAAATAGTCTCATCAGGTGGCTTAATATCTTTAAGTCGATTTAGATTCAAGCATCAAATTTGGAACAAAATCAATTCAAGACAGTTTACTATACTATATCTAAAAGATATAGTTGTAAATGATACCAAATTCATTGAAGAATATGGCTGTGTTCGAAGCAACCACAATCGATTTCGACCTTGCTAAAGGGTCTGGTCAGTTGACTTAAGGTCTCTAGTTTGAATCCAAAATTTTTTAACGAAATTTGAATCAATTCAAGACAATTTACTCTTTTCTATTAGAGGATATAGATAGTTATTATCCAAACACATGAATATCAAAATAATGACTAATTTTCTTAAAATTGATATTTAGTAGTAATTTCAATACGAATTATGCTTTAAAAAGTCCTAGCAATTAAAACGACTTTTCCAAAAGGAAAATTCTACAATGAAAAATGAAAAATAATATATCATCGACTCGTTCAAAATGAACAAAGACATTGACATCATTGAGAATAAATTTTCAAAACTAATTAATAGACCCTTCAAATTGTTATCCTATGAGAAAAAATCTCTTCTTTTCTTTATTTTATGAAAAATTTCCTTTAAAAATGAAAAATTTGGTCAAATTTTCACATCCGCTAAAAAAATCCAAATGTAAAAAATGGATATCCAAATGGCGCTCGCTTCCAACAACCATTGAAATTTTTGAAAAAATAAAAATAGAGCATCAAATAAAATTATTTAAAACTTTTGAAACTTCAAATTTCCCTCCTAAATTTTATTAAAAAATTTTTGAGTTATTATTTTTTCCTTCTACTCCCATTTTTAATTAAAATAGTATCTTTTGTGTGCTTTTTTCTTGTAATGCAGAGCCCTGAAGAGTGTTTTTGATTTCGAAACAAATATAACACGACACGCATCGGCAAAAAAAAAAATCTGCATCATTTTATTTTATTTTATTGAAGCAGAATATCAATAATTGTTTAATTTAATTCTGACTTAATCGGTTGCTGAAAAGCAAAAGCTGAGAGTAGTAGATTAATACGTATATATTATTTAGAAATATAGATTGGTTTGTTTTCAATTGATTAATTTACCCACACCCTCGCCTCCAAACGTCGCTACTGCATGTTTAATCTCCCTGTAGAAAAGAAACGTAAAAATGGTTGTGGAGCAGCAAGCAATTAAAACTGCACAATAAACAAACAATATCGAATTGCACCATATGCTTTCAGATCAAAAAGACATGAATAAACGTACAAAATCATATTGCCACTGCGGATGGTTTGAATAATACGGTCATTCAAACACATGACTAAATTTTTTTGGTCCGACTGAATGACTGTTCTCTTGTCTCAATTTAGATTTTTACTCTGAATATGCGGGTTCGATTCCCGCCAGCGGTGCTTTTTTTGTATCTGTTGAAGTTTTCGCCAGTGTTTCTAATGGCAAGTGTACACAGCAGAAGAAAAATGTACAAACATCTGCAGCTATGAAAGTACACTCTGCTGTACACTTTGACAAAAGAAGCAGCGTGTACAATTTTCTGGAAAATTGTATAATATATCTTAGTTTATACTAGAACTTTTGGTTTGTTTCGCTCTTTCGCTTCATTTTGGTAATATAAATAACTGTGTGCATTTTGCTGTACACTTTGTTTATCCAAGGGTGTGGGTGCGTGTGTGGGTGTTGGGGTGAATTTTATTAACCATAGAATAATTCACACCCACACACCCGCACCCACATCCACACCCTCACACCCCCATCCCCTCAAGATGTAATGCGTAATATAAACTTTTTCTACTTTTGCATATCAATATAGCTTGCTTCAAACTATAATAAACTCAATTAATAAACAGAGTAATTACAAGTAATGTTCATCAATCTCCAATTCACAAGTACCTAGGTTCCCCTCTTGAGTCTAAGATTCTTATTGACTAATGTATTACAAAATATGTATTTTTATTTCCATATAATCAAAAGAAATATTAATATCAAATAAATCCGTTATTCTGTCAAATGTGATATGAAAAAGAAAAAGAAAATACATAAGATAGATAAAAAGTAAATGAGTATTACCATCAAATCTCGTAGATTATTAGATTAAAGCTTCTCTTTATACATTGTATCAGTAATGCCATTCGATCCTATATGTAATTCAGTGAGTGTCTTTGTGCACAAAATATAATCAACATATACATAAATTCCAAAATAAAATCATTTACGATATTTTTCTCTAACGATACTCTCAGATATTCTACACCATCATCTTCAATTTGATTAAAAGAAACATACATTTCTTTCAGTGTCTACACGTTATCACAAAATATATTTGTAAGTTGAAAAGGAAGCAAAAAATAACCTTGTTCATTTCCAGTGCATTGTCAAGATAGTGTGCTCCTTCGCTCAAGATTCTATTTCTACTTAGATCCAACACAGTAAGTGTCTAATTATAGAACATCAGAATAAGTGATAAGAACAGAATCATACTCACTGTGTTGTTCTGTAATGCATTGGCAATAGACTTTGCTCCACGAACTCCAATGTTATTCGTGCAAAGATTTAGTTTCGAAAGTGTCTCGTTCTGAACTAGTACATCAGCCATCAGTTGTGCTCCATCATCACTAATCTGATTATTTGTCAAATCAATGTCGACTAGTGTCTAGAGATTCAGGACAAATCGAATAGGCACTAGTTCAATAGATGATAAGAATCACTTTGTTGATTTTCAACATATTTGCAAGATATTCAGTTCCTTGAACTCCAATTTGATCGTGTTTCAAGACGAATGTAGTTAGTGTCTGTTGAACAAAGAAAATCAGATAGAAATACAAATGATGAAAGAGAGAAATACTGTATTATTTTGTATGGCATCGGCAAGACTCTTTGCACCAGCTACTCCGATTCGAGCAGAGGATAGAATCAACGTTTTGAGTGTCTACAAGTGTCGTATGTACGTAGTAGATTGCATACTTGCTAGTAGATATCAGAGTGTTACCATATTATCTCGTAACCCAGAAGCAAGATTTTCCGCACCATGATTGCCAATGACATTTTTTTCTGAGCATAATGTCGTCAATCTCTATATGCGTAGATAATAATGTGTAATAGAAAAAGTACCGATAAATTCAATTTACCATGTTATTTCTTAAAATATCACCAAAATGATCTAAATCATCGATTGATGTAAGATTCTGTCTCATATTCAATGTAGTAAGTGTCTGTATATTGCAGATAAAAAAAATATTTCGATGCTTTTTGAACATTACTGGGTGATTGGCAATGGTAGAAAAAAAAGAATCGATTGTTGTTTCAGCGATTGGCGCCCATCCCATTTCCAACGTGATGAGCTCCTATATAGTATATATGTGTTGAAAGAGAGATTTTCAGTAGTAGAAATTTACTCGATGAGTTTGTGATTCAATAACTTTCGCGTAATATGTGCGTCTTTTTCTGAAAGGTTTGTAATTTAATGTTTCTATAGTCTGCAACGAAAGTGAATATAAAGATCTGAGATATTTGATGTTTCATCACAAACTGTATTGCATTCTAATCCATCCACGAGTATTCTTATTTCAGGTTTATCAGAGTGATTGGCACCTAGATGTAGTGTTTTCAGTGTCTGTTTAAGAAACAAAGGATTTGTACAAGTTCGAATAAAAGAGTAGAAAAGAAAGTTACGGTGTTTGCACACAATAGATCATAAATACATCGTGTGTTCTGTGGAGAAGTTGGATTTCCATTGCAAAATATTTCAGAAATCGTCTACACGAGAGTTTCTGATTTATGTGATCATATTCGAAGAACAAAATATTACCAGGTTTTTTTGCAGTAATATGCACAGGGATTGTATGTCGGTCTTCTCTATTTGGTTATTCGATATATCTAATGTAGTAAGTGTCTTTGTACGATGGTGAAACAAAGAAAATATAAAGAAAATCAAGACAAGAATAATACTAACTTTGTTGGTTTTTAACAGTTCAGTTACATATTCAACTCCATCACATCCGATATAATTATAACTTAGATTCAATGTGTGCAGTGTCTGTTAATAGAAGAAAAGCAGGCGAATCGAAGAGAGATCATAAACAAATGAGATATACAGTATTATGTTTCAAGGCTTGTACAAGGTATTGAAGACTAACTGCGTTGAGCCAGTTATTATTAAGATTCAACGTGATCAACATCTACACACCAACGAGAAAAAATACACAATAATCATAACAAAGGTAATTTTGCTTACTGTATTTTCCCGTAAAATATTAGCGAAATGGATTATTTCTTTTGTACCAATACAATTATAACTTAGATCGAGTTCTTTGATGGTCTTAATATACAATAAACGATTGAAAAGATTGGAATGATGAGAAAATATGAATACTGTATTCTTCTGTAAAGCATCAGCAATATATTTGGCGGTCACAGCTTTTAAATGAATTTTGTTCAACGAGAATTTCGTTAGTGACTAACAAGAAAAGAAATCATGCATAAAAATTAGAAAGAAGAGAACTTCTAAGATCACCTGATCATTTTTGATTCGGCTCACCGGTTCAACTAGATGACAAAAATCTCTATTTTCCTCTAAGGATACTTTGACTGGAGACGATTGTAAAGATTCAAAGAAATATTCTGCCCCGAGAATACCAATTTTATTGCGGGCGAGATCGAGCGTTGTAAGAGTCTAGAGAACAAAATGAATAGGCAAAAAATAAGAACAAGAATTACTTTATTGTTTCGTAATGCTAAAGCGAGATCTCGTGCACCATTATCTCCAATTGCGTTACTTTCAAGACTAATAATCTTGAGTCCCTAGACATAATGAAAAAGCAATTTTGTCTAAAACGAAGTCGAAAAAACATAGATGATCAATCACATTGATATTGTTTTGCAACACTTGTGCTAAAGACTTTGCTCCGGCATCTCCAATCCCGGTGCAACCAAGATAAAGCTCTTCGAGTGTCTAAGAAAGAAGTAGAAAATCTACAAGTTACACATTGATAGAACACAAAAACGAATGAAGATCACCATATTCTTATGTAGCCCTTTGGACAGCGAACACAATCCTTTGTCTCCTAATCCGTTATATCCAATGTTCAGTACAGTGAGTGTCTACATACGATGATACAAATGATAAGAAAAAATAATAATGATAATAACTTTATTAGTTTCTAACATATGAGCTATATGATAAGCTTCTTCTTCTTTAATATTAAATTCTTGAAGATTCACTGTTGTCACTGTCTGTTAATATTGAATGTAGATGATGTTACAAATCTCACAAGAGAATGAAGTTTACGGTATTATATTGCAATGCATCAATAATACGTTGTACACTAACTTTTTTTATCCAATTTCTGTTTAGATACATCTTAACAATTGGCTAGATTTCAAAGAAAAATTATATCAAAGTATCGTGAAGAAAAAGAGTTCAAAGTTTACATGATTATTTTCTAATACAGGAACGAGATATTGCACATCTTCTTCATGGACGTATCCGTGAGAGATATCTAATGTGATGAGTGTCTGCATGATATGAGGGCAAAGGCATGAAAGTGAATTCATAATGTCGTATTAAACAAAATATTTTGTTTTTTGATTATAAAAAATGATGAAGATAGACTTACATCAGTCAAAATGTCATTATGTAATCGTTGAATTAAATGATAGTTATTGTTTTTAGCTGAGATTGCATAACACACGTCTTTATAAGAGTAAAAATTAAAATTCGTTGATATTGTATAAAGTAAAATAGTTGAATGTCCCAAGACATATTCACAACCAATAAACCAACGTTTTTCATTCACCCAAAATGATTCTAGAAATGGAGCAAGAATTAATTGAAGATTAGTTTTATCATTTGGTGGAATTTTGTAGTAGACTAAAAAGTCACATGTGTCGAGAAAATTCAATTCAGTTCGGATAAATTTTTCCCAATCATAAATATCAACAACAGATTTGAATATCTCTTTTCGATAACATAACTTGAGATGACGAAGTTTAGGTGTTTCTAAAATTAATGATCTAAGATATTCTATCGGTACTGAACAATCAGTAATGATCAAACATGTTAATTGTGAAATGAATGAGATATTAGATGATGGTGTACACGTATTTTCAGTTTTCATAATACATTCCTCCAGTTCAAGTATTTTGAGACAAGGTAATTGAAGAAGAAGAAGAAGATATTCACTATAAAGACATCTTCTCAATTTCAAATACGTTAATTTGCATGGAATAGGCCATGACATATTTTTAGCTTTGTATTCTAACATTCTACAATACAATTTTTGAACATTTAATTTCGTCAACATTGATGACAGCTTAGAAAATACTGCGGAATTTGGTGTATCGATGAAATCGATTTTGAGTGAGATCAGTTCTATGGAATTTTCATTCGTGAAAAGATTTTTCCAATGTTCGTCTTTCACCTCAGGAATTCTCAAATATCGAAGTCGTGTAAATCGACTTTTATATTTATGAACCAAGTCGTTAAATATCTCATACCATCTTTTCATCAATTGCATATTCAAAGAAACGATAGAATGGTTTGGCACAATATGAAGTAGATGCCTCACATACATTATATTTCTCTCATTAAATTCAACGTGAAATCGATTATATTGATAAACAATAGTACGAAGCCTTTTGCAAACACGACGAAGTTTAAGTAGAATCGTTTCGATATCACAATAATCAAATATACGATAAAGTATTTCGGTAGGTAGATTGATTAAATATGTGTTTTCCATATAAATGTATCAATCTGTACGATGAATTTTCTATATGTAATAAAATGAAAAATAGACAGAAAATAATAAAACCAGAAAAAGTATTCTGAGAATGAAAATGAGATTTTATATTGTCACCTTAACAATCTTCGTCATAAAACTTACTGCGTCGACTAAAATCTTCTAGTAAATGTTTGACTTATCTTCTGTATACAAATAACAATGTGTTTCTTTTCTCGTTCTTCATCATATTCTTTATTCTTCTATTACGCTTTATTTTATATCAGAATTTTTTTTAAACTAACGCTTTCAGTTTTATCTTTCGAGCCAATTCACCACTTGGGTGCTGACGGCTCTAGAAGAATAGGTGTTACAAGCGGAATGAAAAGGATTAGTTGAACACCTGTTTAGGTTTCGAAACTTGTTGACTAGAGTTGCATGCTCAATTACAATTTCGACAAAATTTTGTGCAAATATTTCAAAGACTAACAATGATTCCAACAGGTTCCTACTACATCACTTATAATGAAATACCCATGGGTTCCATAGGGCGACAGGTTTTCTGAAATCCTAGGAGCCTTTGAGTTTCCGTAATTCCGCCGATCAGCAATAGTCAGGAATGATTGTGGAACAATGACGTTCAATTATTTCAACGATTCACAAGGATTCTAAAATTTTTCATCTGGTTTTTCTTTATTAAATACTATTACAGACTGTGGGGAATAAAAGGTCTTCTGGAAACCTTGGGATCTTGGAGTTCCTGGACGTACGCAGCATGGACGTTGCTTCTATATGATTTGAAAGAAAATGGTGTAATTATCTCAAGGATTCGCAATGATTCCAACGAATTCCTTTAGTGAAGATTATTATCAGATTCCATCCACCATGGAGAACGATAGGTCTTCTTAAGTCTTGAGATTTGGATACTTCCAGATATCTGATCGCTCCCAAATATAATCAGAGGACTGTTCTTTACTAGAATCGCAATTGTTAGATGGATTTAAAGTAGTTTATAATACAGAAAATGTGACAAAAACTATTAGAATTATTTTCATTGCAACGGAAATAGCATAATCGTCAAGAAATCCAAGAATACGAATTTCGTTAAAAATGAAAGTGGGGTGGACTACTGGGTTTGTATCTAATTTGACAAAAAATTTTATAGGCTGACTGGAAATTGAAATTTTTTTATGTATTTGCGGTTTTTGAAAAATGTTTTAAGTTATTGCTTTCCGATTTTTTTCTTAGATATCGATTATTTTGAAATTTTTTGATGATTCCGGGTCTGTTTTTTTTGTTGAAACTTCTATTCGTTTCTTATGTTTTGATTAATTCTGGAATTTTTTATTTTTTGTTTTAATGGAATCAGATTTGTTAATTATTTTTATTTTTTTTTTAATACGTACTTTTCTTACATTATTATTATCACACATTTTAAAACAATAAAAACAAAAACTTACACTACACAAGAGAAAAAACAAAACGAAATTCACATCAAATTTTCGTTGTTTAAAAAAAGTAATTCAAATGTTTTTTCTTTTTATAGAGCTCGGTATTTATTTATTTATTTATTTATCCATTGAATTCAATATTGAATTTTTGTACTCGATGATTTTCCTTATCGACAACATAGAGATTACCATATCGATCGAATGATAAACCGAAGGGCCCATTGAGCTGGTTCGATTGTCCTCCTTCACCGTTTCCACCCACAATCACACTTCTCTCTGTGGCTCCTTTTGGCCAACGCATGATTCGATGATTCACTCGGTCAGCCACATAGACAGTGCCCAATTGATCGACAACGACTCCTCGAGGATGTGACAATTGTGTAAGGCCATTTACTTTGCCTTCACCATCGGCCACGACAATGCCTTCTTTTGCACCTTCCATCCATTTCATCGCACGATAATTTCCCCAATCAGATACGTACACCGAATGATCTGGATCGACGAATACGTAGTATGGGGAAAAGAGTTGATCGAGACGCTTTCCGCGCCCATTGCCACCTGCAACCACTGTTCCTTGAGATTCTCCTCTTCGATATCGTCTCACTTCATTGTTTCCAACGTTAACGACATAGAGAGATCCATTCTCGTCCATTGTTAAACCGACACAAGTGACATTCGAGATGATCGTTTCTCTACTTGTCCCATTTCGGCGAGACCATCGAACCACTCTTTGATTTGAACGATCGCAGATGATGAGACTATCTCTCTCTTTGTCGACAATCACATCTCTTGGGTAAGACAATTGATGAGCCTCACTTCCTTCTTCATTTCCACCGGCAACCACTTGGCCATTCGTCGCACACGATTTCCGTTCTACAATACGGTGATTGCCTGAATCAGTGATATAGACAGTTTGATCATCATCAACATACAAACCCCATGGATTCGAGAGTTGATTGATTCCATTGCCTTGTCCATTTCCTCCAGCTACAGTGAGACCATTCTGTTTCCATCGAGCATTTGGATGAATGTCGATTGAACAACCACGTAGTGGAATGACTGAAAATTCGATTGATAGATAAATGAGTAGGTGGACAGGTAGACGATGAGAGAGAGAGAGAATGTAGTTGAAGAAAATAATGTATGTAAAAATTTCGATACTATAATTAAAGTCACTTTCAAGTAGTTGAAAAAGTTGCCACGGAACAAGGAATATAGTATGTACTAATAAGGTGATCTTTCTTGAGTGTAACTATAGTAATGAATATAATTGTAAGTTAAAGAAAACGATAGTTTTAATGATAGAAATGTGCTAATTAATATAAAATATTTCGTACGCCCAAAAAGTGTTAAGAAGTACTTCTGAAAGTACAGCAATTCACTAGAACAAGTCGAAAATATAGTAAGAAAACTTAGTTTATTTTACTGTATTCATCTTAGAAGTGCTTAAGAAGTATTTTTGTTTCTTTTCAAGCACGCAAATAGTGAAAAATTCATTCTAGTTTTTCTGTATAGTCAACAAGATAAATGTTTCATTCATGTTCAAATGAATAACTCAAACGCAATTATTTTGTGTTTTCTTTTTTCGAGTTTCAGTAATATTAGAAAAACAATGACATCAACCAGATGGTTATGCTCTCGACTCTTCTACTTATCTTGTTTACAGCACTCTCAGTATATAAATGTTTTCTTTTTTTTCAATTTCAAAGACGACTAATTTGAACAACGCAGTTAAATTTTTATTAGGATAATGTTCTGCCGATAATATAAAGTCACGACCTATGTGCATCTTCTATCATTTCAACTAATATGAAAACAATTGGCCAGTCTGTCATCATTTTTTTGATCATATGGGGTGTGGGTGTGTGGGTGTGTGGGTGTGAATTATTCTATGGTTACTAAAATTCACCCCAACACTCAACACCCACACCCGCACCCATACCCACACCCACACCCACACCCACACCCACACCCCACCCTCACACCCACACCCACACCCAAAACGTTTATTTATCTCGAAAAATACACACCAGAAACGAGCAACAACACAAAACTCTCGAGAGAGCCCCAAGGGGATATTGATACTGAAAAATCAGCATGAGGTGATTGTCCAAGGAAAAAGGTTAATCATAGATGTCGCGATTTGCCATTCACGAATGACCAACCCTTCACCCAACAGAATTCTACGTTTTTAGTTAATACATAAGAACTTTTTGTAAAAATACAGAAATAATTAAAATTTCAGTAATCTATGAGTCTTGAATAACTCTTTTGGTCCGTCAGCATCGTAAATTACAAAATCTGGCAAATAATTCTCTCCTCTAATATAGCTTGATACCTCTTGAAACAATCTAAATTTGATTGCATTAATGTTTCTAAATGCTTCTTGATAAGTAATTCCGGCTTTTTTATTAACATCTTCATAATGAGAAAGGCAATATTCAATATTGGTTTTTAGATTATCTATTAAATATTGTATATGAAATACTTGTGATGATATTAATTTATCCGATATTTTATCTTTTAGATAAAACATTGCTCCCAAAGAAAATTCATCTGTAAAAATATCTTGATCTATTACATCATTTGATTTTGTACATATCTCTTCAATGCTGGAGTTTATATTCAAGTTTAAGTAATCTTCTCCTGCCATTTTAACCATTTTGGCAAATATAATAATAGCACTGAACAACTTTTCAGTCTTATCTGTCACAACATACATTTTTTTGTATTTTCTATTTTTATGTAAATAACAATCCACAGACTGTATACCACTAAAATCAAAGAATAAACACAATAAAAATTTTGTTTTTAAAGGATATTTGGGATTGCCTATCAATGTTGGTTCCTTCATATTTTATACTATAATGGCATAAATAATTAGCTTAATTACCTGATTTATGAATTAAAATTGCCTATCATGTCATAAGTACCAAAGCGCTAGCATTGTTAAACACGGATTTCAAAAGGAAAAACAGAGATATAGATGCAAAGGATGTAGATGCACTTTTACAAAAGAAAGTAAACCTCGAAAATACACTGAAGAATTTGAAAAAGAAGCGGTGATTATGTATATAAATTCTATTATCATAAGGGCTATAGCTAGGGTCAAAGGGTTGCATAACTCAATATCTTTGTGGATCAAATAAATGGATCAGAAAATTAAGAAGGAATTTGAAAACGAATTGGCAAGAATCCAACCTAATAAAATTGCGGCTTTGGAACTTGATGAGGTGTTTACATATATAAAAAAAGGATAATAGAGCTTATATATTTACAGCAGTAGATAGATATAATCTTAGAACTATCGCTATCAAAGTTACCAATAATAGTAGTTTGGAGCGCTACGAAATTGATTTTTCATGTTCTGGTGATTGTCAGATGTATAATAATTTCTTTGAAATTCTTTTTTTGACCAGTCTACCTGAATAAGAACGTGAAGTAAGTTTTGGAAAACTTGTTTTCGAGATTTCTAAGCGAAGGAGGAGGGTATTAGAGACCTTATAAGTTTAAATGTATCTGTATTTACTGCAAGATTTCACATTGTTCACTTTTCTGTGTTTGGGATTAATCTTATTTCGTGTGTCTTCTATTAAAACAAAATAAGATATCAATCGAAATACCAAAAGAATAGAGAGAAAAGCGTGCCTCGAACACATGTTATGATGAGAAGACCCGCACTCACACGTGTGATAAGAAACGAAAGAACAAAATGGTTACATAAGAGAAAAAGCACAAGGGAATTGAGAATGAGAATGAGTTGAAACATACCACGACTGATAATCATAATAGTTTCTTTCTTATTGCATTGACTACTTTTTAAGATCACGTGCTTTATTGAGACTCGAATTATTCTATCCAAACGAGATTCTTCCCGATAGCTTGAATTTTTATATGGTATGCGTTAAATGAATCAAATAAGAACCTTCTCATTTCTTTCATCACATTTTTCTCTTGTCGATGCTAGTTGTAATGAATCCGAGTAATATAGTGCAATGCTTAGCAGAGCCGGTCAAAGCTGGTCGTCACATAAAATCAACAGACGTGTTGCATAGCCAACATGAGGCTGCTCAACATCTTGCAGACACAATCGGGATGTTTACCGACTGAAAATGACGAGTACCGTTCATCGGTTCGACTCACGTGTCCCTCGACTGTGTGGGGGAAGATGCATCATGTCTTACACTAATGGTAATCAAGTCTATCTCCTTTCTATTTAAGTTTTGACATAACTATTCAACTTGTAATTGTAAACGTATTATGAATGATTTCGTTAATATAACATCTGCCTGTTTCGACCCATGATGATTCCTGTATGATAATAACCTAATTTGTATTCTCAACGATCTATTTTTATCTAGAAAAGCATAGACCATCAAATGATATCATATTCGAGTCAGTAACCTTGACGTTCATCACAAACCTATTATCTACCAAAACCCATTGTTTTTCATATAGGCTTCAGCATTTTATAAGCCAAAGTTCTTTGAAAACCCACTGATAAATGAGATTTGATGAAACCTATCTTGCAGCATTTTTCAAAGGCTACAAGATTGTTAGAGGGACTAACCCTTCATTTAATCATACTTATTGGATATCCAATGTTTAGTTCTTGCCGATTAATAATATCTTTCGGTGTGTAAGAAATATTTTTGCCTTAGTGGGAAATACTGGAACTTACTGACACTGACGATCAGGCTAATCTCCAATCGTTTGGCCCAAGGTTAGTAATGTTCTAGCGCTTCAATCATGGGCTACAAGATGCATACCACCCAATTTTATCTACAGTAGCTTTTCATAGAACTGTGTCCCACCCCAAACCATCAAAATCCAACAAAAAACTGTAGATTTTGGTTGTTTTTTCACTCCCTGTATTATTGGTGAACAAAATCAGAGGCCGATCCTCGTTTCAGTTCTGTAGTCCTTATAAATTTGCTGCAAGATAGGTGTCATCAAATATCGTCATCAATGGGTTTTGGTAGACAGTACATTTGTAATGAACGTCAAGTTTACGGGCTCGAATATGATATCATTTGATAGCCAGTTCTTGTCTGGATGGAAATATATTGTTGAGAATACAAATTAGGTTATTGTCATAGAGAAGCCATCATGGGTCAAAGCAAACAGCTTGCCACCATAGCCCGTTCTTTAATGCTTGATAGTCTCGAACAGATATGAGAATAATCGAGTAACGAAATCTAAATGTGCTGTTTTACTGAATTCTTGAAAAAAGGGTCTTGACTTAGATTGAACTGTCGATATCAATAAATAGGAAGTACTCAAGAATCGAAATTATCACACACAGCGTGAATAGAATATATGATATCTTATAGAAAAAATTAACCATTAATCATCATGAAACTGTTAGCGTTAATGTTGGATCACACTAACGCTAGACGATGATTTAGATGCGCTTTCTAGTATAACGGTAGTACATCTGCCCGGATAGCGGAAGGTATGGGTTCGATTCCCATGAAGGTCAT